CTTGGATGGAGCACAACACACTGACATCATCATGCCTGCTGTGGAGCACTTTTGTTTTGCATATATGTGACAAATACATGCTATAGAAAATGGTGCTGTAGACATGGGACCAGTGGTCACCTGGTGTTGCTGACGTGACTGTCATCTAAACTAAATCTCTAAGTGACCTTTGCTAGTTTGGAGGCCTGCTCTGTTTGGTAAGAATTTAATTTTGTCACAGTGGTGGACAGGCAGGCACATGACATCATGATCTCTACCTGAGCCAACCAGAGGAAGCCTTGTATTCATTCATAAAATACAAAGCCTCCTGTGAATGGCTGAGCAGCACTCATCCAGACTTGATTTTTCTTTGGGAGCTCCCAACCTGCTGCCAGAACACAGCACTGTATACTGTACATAACTGAAGCTACATACAGTTCATACAGAACTAAGATCTGCTGCAAAGGTTGGTGAAGGAAATATTTTGTTTGGACCAACATTGTCCAGACGAACTATTTAAAGTTAAGTAAAACATGGAGCTGGGCTTTAATAGCTTCCTCCCCCGCCACTGCAAATAAACGGGACAAGTGTTTATTTGGGGGGACATACCCCCCTGGGCACGCATTGGAGCAATTGTTTGACTGCTCTGTCCACCAGACACAGCGGATCTCAAATCCAAGTACTGTGCACCAGTGCTTCGCCCTTGTACTATGTGTAGTCATAGTAGATATGGACAGTAGTAGATATGCCATTCATACAGCTTTTCAGAACTACTGTGATCTCTGTGATTGATCAAAGTGATCACATGGTGCAGGGCCAAGCACTGCCTCTGTGTACCATGTGATAGCTGTATCCAATCACAGTTTATCACAGAGATTTTCAGTGACTGCAGAAATTCAACCCAGAACTGTCAGAAATCATTGCTTATACAGCCATCATTGATGTGTAAGCAATCATAGTGAAGAAAAATCCCAATTACTTCCCTGGAGTAGTGCAGTGTCACTATGGTAACACCGCACTGCTCTTGTGACTGGAGGTAATAAAAAGAATTGTTTTAAAAAAAGTTTTATATATACTGTATATATACACACACACAGGTATAATATAAATATAAATATATATATATATATATATATATATATATATATATATATATATATATACAGTGAGGAACAGAAGCATTGGAACACCCTGCGATTTCGCAAGTTCTCCCACTTAGAAATCATGGAGGGGTCTGAAATTCACATTGTAGGTGCATTCCCACTCAGAGACAGAATTAAAAAAAAAAATTCAGGAAATCACATTGTATGATTTTTAAAGAATTTATTTGTCTTGCACTGCTGAACATATCCACCTCTACTCCACTCATTGATCTAACTTAGTAGCACCCGTCTGAGCTCTTTAAAGACACCTGTCCACCCCACAGTCAGTCAGACGCCAACTACTACCATGGGCAAAACCAAAGAGCTGTCAAAAGACACCAGAGACAAAATTGTGGACCTCCACAAGGCTGGAAAGGGCTACGGGGCAATTGCCAAGCAGCTTCGTGAAAATAGATCAACTGTTGGAGCAATTATTAGAAAATGGAAGAGGCTAAAGACGAATGTCAGTCTCCATAATAAGAGCATTGAAAGAGTATGGGGAGATATCAAATTTAAAAATTAATCCAACAAAAACAGAGATTTTGAATATAAATCTTCTAAATAGTAAGAAAAATAGTTTACAGAAGGAATTTCCCTTCTTTTGGCAAGAAAAAGAACTAAAATATTTAGGAATAAAACTAACTGTATCTTCCAAGAACTTGTATAAATTGAATTACATCCCATTGTTAAATGAGATTAAGGATGAGTTTAGGAAATTAGGATTGGGTGCCCAGTCATGGATAGGCCGTATAAATTTGATAAAAATGGTGATTGTTCCAAAAATTCTATATAAATTTCCAAATGATACCAAGTAAACTACCAGAAGTATATTTTAGAACAATTAAAAAAATGTTAACAAGATTTATCTGGAGAAATAAAAAAACGAGAATAAGCTATGAGATTTTAAGTAGAAATAAAGAGAAAGGTGGACTGGGAGTACCAGACTTGAAAAGATATTATAGTTTGGTAATAATGGCGAGAATTTTTGATTGGACACATAATGCAAAAGGGAAAAGCTGGGTTAAAATAGAAAATACAGGCCATTTGGGTGATTTCTGTTATCATTGTGATTTAAAAAGGAGCTAAACAACTATTTGATAATAAATAGCTTCATATGATCATCATCCTTCAATAAAAGAGCATTTTTTGGCATGATCAGTCATTATTTTCAATATCAATGCCAAAATTTCACAATTTCTGCCAGGGTATGTAAACTTTTGAGCACAACTGTATATACACTGCTCAAAAAAATTAAAGGAACACATCATATCTCAATGGGGAAAAATATCATGCTGGATATCTATACTGATATGGAATGGGTAATGTGTTATGAACGTAAGGATGCCCCATCATTTGATGGAAATGAAAATTATCAACCTATGTCAGATGGACCGAAACATGATATTGCAGTGGTGTTCTATTGGATTTAAGACAGGCGAGCGTAGGGGCCATTCAATGATATCAATTCCTTCATCCTCCAGGAACAGCCAGCATATTCTCGCCACATGAGGCCAGGCATTGTCATGCACCAGGACCCACTGCACCAGTGTAGGGTCTGACAATGGGTCCAAGGATTTCATCCCGATACCTAATGGCAGTCAGGGTGCCATTGTCTAGCCTTTAGAGCTCTGTGCGTCCCTCCATGGATATGCATACCCAGACCATCACTGACCCACCACCAAAACTGTCATGCTGAACAATGTTACAGGTAGCGTAACGTTCTCCATGGCTTCTCCAGACCCTTTCACGTCTGTCACATGTGCTCAGGGTGAACTTGCTCTCATCTGTGAAAAGCACACGGCGCCAGTGGCGGACCTGACAATTCTGGAGTCCAATGGCAAATGCCAATTGAGCTCTATGGTGCCGGGCAGTGAGCACATGGCCCACTAGAGGATGTTGGGCCCTCAGGCCACGCTCATGAAGTCTGTTTCCGACTGATTGTTTTGTCAGAGACATTCACACCAGTGGCCTGCAGGAGGTCATATTGTAGGCAATGCTCATCCTGTTCCTCCTTGCTGTCAGGGAGCGAGCAGCCAGACACACGAGGAGGTGCAATTAAAGGTAGGTTTATTATACAAAAACAAGACAGAGTCTATGCAAGTCCAACAGCAACCACAGATGACTTGGTAGAACAGTAGCCAGAGCCGGGGTCAGAAGCAAGGAAGGATGATCGCCAGAGCCGGGGTCAGAAGCCAGGAAGGATGGTCACCAGAGCCGGGGTCAGAAGCCAGGATGGATGGTCGCCAGAGCCGGGGTCAGAAGCCAGGAAGGAGTCTTGCCAAAGCCGAGTTGGTATCCAGGAGAGCAATGAGAAACTAAACAGGAGCTTGCTGCTGTGCAACAGACAGGACATAAATGCAATGGAAGGCTACAAACAGCAGACTTATATGTGATAAGCTGCCACCTCCTGGGGGAGGAGCCGCAGGGGGCTGAAAGCATAAAGGATCCCACAATGCTTTGCAGACACCTAAGATGGATGCCAGCACATGGAGCAGCACAAGCCCTGAGGAAAGGTAGGACCTTGACACTTACACAAAGGAGCAGATACCAGTCCTGCTGATGGGTTAAGGACCATCTAAGCCACTGATTGCGGCCGTGGGTGTCAATCACCGGGTCCCGGCCGGTGATTACCTGCCAGGTCCCGGCGATTGCCGGCAAACAGTGACACAGAGTACAGCTGCATTGTTTTCAATGCAGCGCTGCTCCCTGTCAGTTCCCAGCTCACTGTTCAGGAGAGCAGAGCTCAGCTTTCCAGGACAGTATGTAACAGTGAAGTACACAACCCCCGCCCACTAGCAAAACACTCCCCTCACACCGTTAACCCTTTGATTGCCTAAAAAAGGTAACCCCTTCCTCCCCAGTGCCATTTTTACAGTGTCAGTGTTTTTTTTTGCACTGATCACTGTATTGGTGTCACTGGGGATGTCAGTGACCCCAAGTCAGTTCCAACCCCATGTCAGAATGTCCGCCGCAGTCCTGCAGTCCTGCCATAAGTCGCTGATCGCCACCATAAGTCATTGATTGCCGCCATAAGTCGCTGATCGCCGCTATTATTAGTATACAGAAAAAAAATCCAGTATCTATACCGCCATTTGTAAATGCTATAACTTTTACGTAAACTAATTAATTTACACATATTGGGATTTTTTTTAGCAAAGACACGTCGCAGAATACATTTTGGCTGCAATTTATGCCGAAATTTGATTTTTAAATTTTTTTACTGAACATGTTTTATAGCAAAAAGTCCAAAATATTGTTTTTTTTGCTCAAAATTGTTGAGTTTTTTTTATAGCGCAAAAAATAAAAAAATGCACTAGCGATCAAATACCACGGAAAGAAAGCCAAATTCATGGGGAAAAAAGGATGTAAATTTCATGTTTGTGCAGCATTGCATGACCGTGCAATTGTCAGTTAAAGTGACGCAGCGCCAACACAAACCGCTTATGTAACTGCTTCCTGACCGCCCTATGCAAAATCACATATATATACGTGATTTGCGCTACCGTGGTTTTCACACCACTCCCAGATGGCGCCAGATTGCCCGTCAGTACACCAGTAATCACACTTAACCCCTCGATTGCCAGGAGCACGCTCATACACAATAAACCTCCATTGCTAGTATAGTGTCTGAACGGATATATAACAATATCTTTTATCAGATCAGCACTATACCAGCGTTCATATTAGTGTAGTGTCCCCAAAAATGCAGCGTTAGCAGGATCAGCCTCAGCACCTGCATTTAGCCCCCACGCTTACCCCCACCCTTCTCCCCCAGCAAGTGCAGTGTCAGTAGGTCACTGTCACTTGATACATTGCACACAAAACCGCAGTGTTGGCAAAATCAGACCTGATCTCTGTTAGCGTTTGCCGGTAAATTTTGATGACTCTCATATGCAGCAGAGTGCCAGTACTAGTGCCGCTCTACCTTTTGGTGACCTGTCGAGTACTAGTGGCCTAATACATCCTGGTTTTTCAAATACCTCTTAGATTTTAAGCTCCCAGGGTCAGGCCCTCCTAACCCTCTTATATTGAACTGCATTGTTGCTGTATTGCCTCCCATTATATTGTAGCGCTGAGCAAACTGTTGGTGCTGTATAAATCCTGTATAATAATAATACCAGCACTGCAGTACCACTTGGTGACACAGCGAGTCCCATAAGTGTATTACAAGCTGGTGCGGTGGCGAGCACAAATCTGGTCCGGCAACCAGCAAGAATTCGCACACAGACCTGTAGAGCCCCTAGTATCCTTCCGGATGTGCTTGCAAATCCCAATTGGCAGCCCACAAATTCTGCAGTACCCGTACTTCCCCCATTCACTGCCCAACCCAGAATTCAGGTGGAATTAGCAAATTTAACTACCCCCCCTTGATTTTTTGGAGCTGTTTTTCCCGGAAGATCTGTATGCATTGATTGTGGATCAAAGCAATTTATATGTACAACAGTTTACCACCACCAACCCAGATTCAAACCTTGACAGACCATTCGCATGGAAAATCATCATGGTTTCCGAATTTATATATTTTTTTTGGGTTTAACTCTCAACATGGGCATTACTAAAAAAAATTAATTGCGGTTGTATTGGTCCACAGACCTGATTCATCATATGCCCATGTTCTTCGCTGCCATGGCCAGGCATAGATGTGAGAGTATAATGTGTTTTATGCATTTCAACAAAAATACACTTTGTCGTCCTCGGGGTGACCCTGAATTTGACCGGCTGCACAAAATTCAGCCCCTCACAAATCACCTTAACCAAAAATTTGCAGATGTCTATACTCCCCAGCAAAACATCTGCACTGATGAGTCCCTCATTAATTTTTCTGGCCACCTTGCATTCAAACAATTTCTCCCCAGCAAGCGTGCCAGATATGGGGTCACAATGTAGAAGACCTGTGATAGGACAACAGGCTATACTTATAAGTTTCGGATTTACAAGGGAAAGATAGTCATGTGGAGCCCCCCAGATGCCCAGACTACATGGGGAGTAGTGGCAAGATAGTTTGGGACTTGGTGTCATCCTTTTTTCCATATTGGGTGCCACTTATACATGGACAATTTTTTTTCAAGTGTGCCACTATTTAGACATTTGTACAATCTTGGAATTGGCGCATGTGGCACCGTGTGACCTAATGTGTGCCCACCATTAGAAGTGGGTGAATGCAGGGTGGTATATTCTAATGGTGGGCATACCATCACACTTTTTCTGGCAGAGATTTCTTCTCTTTTTTTCATTCAGTCTACAGACTGCATACAAAAAAAAAAAAAAGAACATAGCATATACAGTAATACCTCGGGTTACGAATGCCTCTGTTAACGTAATTTTCAGTCTACGAATGAAAATCCATTGAAAATAATGCCTCGGTTTACAAATTTTTTACTAATTGTTTTTCACAATACAAAGTGTATGTCAGTGCTGATTTTTAAATGCAATTGCCGTCTTTTTTTTTTTTTTCTTCACTATAGCTCACAACATTAGCTGTCAGTTTCCGGGAAGCTAAAGGATACTTTGCATCTTTTAAGAAACAAAGGAAACATTGTTTCTTTTGGGGTAATAAACTAAAAGAAACTTTCTCTCTTTTAGCTGGAGGGGGAAAGTGACAGATGAATTTCTGAACTACTGTGTAGTGAAGAAAAAAAAAAAATGGTACTTACATTTAAAAACTGGCACCTGACAGCTGAGTGTAAAATATTTTTTTTACTTGCCAGAAATTCTTTTACATTAAGCTGTCAGTGGGGAAACCCGCTGACAGCTGAAACATTAACACATGGTTGTCACTACTAAAATACCGCATGAGTTAATAAAATTTCAATTCATTCCTATGGGAAACAGTGTTTCGGTTTACAAATTTTTCGCTATATGAAATCTCCTGCAGATTGAATTAAATTCGTAATCCAAGGTATTACTGTATACCCAACAAGGACCTGCGATGTACTGGTACATCACTGGACTTTGAATGGTTATACCAGGATGATGTCTACAGCTGCAGGCATCATCCTGGTATTGTTTTTTTTCAGCCGGTAATCGGCTTTCATGTAAAAGCAATCCTAGTGGCTAATTAGCTGCAGGGCTGCTTTTACAAGTGGTGGGAGACGATGCCCCCCTCCCCCACTGCCTTCCACGGTCTTCTCGGGTAGTCCCGTGCCAACCTGAGCATGCAGCCGGTGTTTCTGCCAGCTGACCATAGAGCTGATTGGAGACCATTCTGGTGCCAATCATCTCTATAGTCTAAGAAATTGGAAGCTACGAGCATTTCAAATAAATCTTCTATGGACTCAATATGCCTTTCAGCAGATAGCTTAGGGTGTCTACATTCCAAAAAGGGGTCATTTGGGGGTGTTTGTACTATCCTGGTCATTTAGCACCTCAAGAAATGTGGAAATGTGATGGGCAGTCAGAAAGTAAAAGCTGTGTAAATTCCATTATCTATATAGTTTGTAGACATTATAACTTTCACACAAAGCAATCAATATACACTTCTTATTGGGATTTTATTAACCAAAAACATGGAGCAGAATACATTTTGGCCTAAATTTATAATGAAGTTTTAGTTTTTTGGGATATTTTTTATCACAGAAATGAGAAAATATTGTTTTTTTTAAAAACACATTTTTTTTCTCAAAACTTTTTTGTTTATAGCGCCAAAACTAAAAAGAGCACAGGTGATCAAATACCACCAAAAGAAAGCTCTATTTGTGTGAAAAAAAGGACATAAATTTCATTTATGGACCATATTGCATGACCGCGCAATTGTCAGTTAAACTAGTGCAGCACTGTATAGCAAAAAATGGCGTAAATTACAGTATCTATACCATAGTTTGTAGACGCTATAACGTTCACACAAAGCAATTAGTATACACTTATTGGGATTTTTTTTTTACCAAAAACGTAGCAGAATACATTATGGCCTAAATTTATAACTAACTTTGAGTTTACTATATATTTTTTATAGCCGAAAGTAAAAAATATTGTTTTTCTTCAAAATTTTCGGTCTTTTTTTTGTTTATAGTGCAAAAAATAAAAAGTGCACAGGTGATCAAATACCACTAAAAGAAAGCTCTATTTGTGCGAAAAAAGGACGTAAATTTTGTTTGGGTGCAGCATTGCATGAATGCACAATTATCAGTTGAATTAGTGCAGTGCAGAGTAGCAAAAAGAGGCCTGGTCATTAAGGGGGGTAAATCTAGAGGGCAAGTGGTTAACGTAAAATTCTCAAAACGCTTTTAAAGTCAGTTCACAAAAGGATTAAACGATTAAACGCATGCGGTAGGGGCAGCACAGCCAGGTGTAGCATTGGCAACTATCATCTTTGCTAAAGTATTCATTTTGGATTAAGTATTGAGCATTGCACTTTGGCTCTGCATCATCTTGATAACTCTTCTCTATCCCATCACAGGTAAATGTCTGCGAGCAATATCCATCTGTACTATCGCCCATGCCATGTATGAATGCCAATTCACCCTGCACTGCTATATTGTAATCTATAGTGCTTTTAAAATACACCTCTAACTAAAGCTTATTCATAACTCTCAATGTTCTTATTGGTCATTCTTACTGCTGCAAAAATCTTAAACTCTAGTCCATATCACTGTGGTGTTTATTTTCCTCTTATTGTCTAACCCAAATTTATGAGCTGATCCTAATCCTTACAACTCTGCCCCCTTGCTCTCTTGTTGTCTCTTGTAGTCCTCCTTTGGTGTGAGAAGTTTTCCCTGCTAGCCATGTGTCTCTGCTATGCATTCCTAATTAATTAATTGGCAATACCCCCACCCAACTCAGTATAAATTTAGGCCTTCCTTAGGGGAGGCACAGCCAGGGGTAGCATTGGCAACTATCATCTTGGCTAAAGTACTCATCTTGGATTAAGTATGGAGCATTGCACTCCAGCGAATGCACAAAGCAAGAAGCCACAGCAGACAACCTCAAATACTAAACAGACTACAGGTGACCTGTTTCCCCATCCAGCTCTTTTAGCTCTTATCCAGTCTTCATCTCACCACTCTGTGACATGCAATCCCTACTCCTCCTCATAGTTGGATCCTCTCTCTTCATACTCTCTCTCCTTCACCCCTCTTCTCCACCCCACAGCTTATATATATCACTCTCACTCCTGTCTTCACCTTCCTACTGTACTCTTCAACTCCTGCTAATTCTGAACCCAAATACTAATATAACCTTTTGGACACTTGAACCTGTTCCTCCATATAAGTCATACTCCCATATTACCTCTCTCACCCTTCTGCTTCTTCTAACACCTGGAGACATTTCCCCAAATCCTGGGCAGCCATCTTTTTCCTTTGATCAACACACCCGGCACCCTCTATCCTCTAACAGCAGCCGCAATCCACACTGATGATCAGTGTAGATGTCCCCTCTGAGAAATGCCAATTACCAAAAACATGCTGGTAGGCTAATTGGATCCTGTCTAAATTGGCCCTAGTATGTGTATGTATGAATGTAAGTTAGGGACCTTAGATTGTACACCCTTGAGGGTTAGGGACTGATGTGAATGTACAATATATATGTAAAGCACTGCGAAAATTGACGGCGCTATATAAGTACCTGAAATAAATAAATTACAGGCTCAGCATGACAGCTCGTGAGGAGAGAAATGTCGATAACTGGCATTTCCCTATTTACATGCGCTCAGCTGTGATTGGACACAGCTGATCACATGACCGAGCCAACATCCTTGGCTCTTTCTGTTGATCGGTGATCCACTGTGTCCGAGGGACACAGCGCACCACCGATAGCCGCGTTGCGTGCTCCCGGAGTCACGCACGGTTAGAGTGGGAGGACATCATGTGACGTCCTCCCAGAACAAGAGAACCGCCTTGCATCCATCATTTCCTTATATGGCGGGTGGGAGGCGGTTAAAGAAGCCTATCCTGCTTCTAACTAGTAAACTGTCTTTTATTTCCTCCATCAGCTCTTCCCTCCCACAGCTATTACCTTTTCTATCACTCAAACCTTCCTCTTAGATTGTAAGCTCTAATAAGCAGGGCCCTCTGTTTCCTCTTGTACCAAATTGTATTGTAACTGTAATGTCTACCTTCATTTTGTAAAGTGCTGCACACACTGTTGGGGCTATATAAACCCTGTATAATAATAATAATAATAACAAAAAAGTAGTGGTCATTTTTTTTTTTAATTTTGAATAAAGTAAGGGAGGGTTATAACCCCTGTAAGATTTTTTTTTAATTTCTTTGCCATCTCTTTCCCATTGGGGAGATTTTCCTTCACTTTCTGTCCCTTACCCAAAAAGTGAGAGGAAATTCCCTTGGGGTCCCCCAGGTCACCAGAACTAGTGTCCCAATTGGAAGATTTCACCACAAATTAATTTTCTGGGGACAACCCAACATTTTAGATTTTCTTTTACTTTCGCTTTCAATGATAATGGTAAACAGGACAAATAGAGAGGGTGAATCTCCCTAATGGGGACACAGACAGCAATAAATGCTAATGCCTTTCCACCCTATCCAAAATGAAAAAAAAATTTTTTTTCTTTAGTTATACTTTAAAGCGGGGGCTCCATACTCCCCCCAAAAAATTAAAAATCAGCAGCTACAAATACTTCAAAGTCACTTAAATCCCCTTTCTTTCCCATTCTGATGCTTGGTTTGAACTTCAGCAAGTGATCTTCACCACGTCTAGATGCCTAAATGCCTTGAGTTACTGTCATGTGATTGATTAGCAATTTGTGTTATCAAACTATTGAACAGGTGTACCTAATAAAGTGGCTGGTAAGTGTGGGTGCTGCTACACTCAGCTATATTTCCTGATCACTCATATAGAGGTGACCATTATAATACATTGGTTTTCATACAATTGGTTGATTTGTGTGATACACAAGATACAATACAGTACTCGGTATATAATCAGTCCAAAAAGTAAAAAAATCTTACACATGTGGTATTGCCATACTCAGAAGGAGTAGCAGAATGTGTTTTGGGGTGTGTAGTTCTATGTATGCCCATACTGTGTTTGAGAAATGTCATATTAGCCTCCCTAGCGGTCTGATTATGTCCATTTGTCTGTGCTCAAAGCGGTACATATTTTGCATGAAAATATGTATTTTTTTTATTTTAGGCCTGTAATTTTTA